AAATGTAGACTTGCCATAGGTTCTTCTGTCAAGAAATCTACCATTTAAATAAAGAGCAATAGTAGGCTAAGATATTAGTCTACTAAAATATAACAAATTACATTTATAAAGACAATTGATCAGCTAGGCATGGTGGCTCACGCCTGTAATACCTGCACTTTGGGAGGCTGAGGCAGGCAGATCATGAAGTCAGGAGTTTGAGACCAGCCTGGCCAATATGGTGAAACCCCGTCTCTACTAAAAATGCAAAAATTACCCGGGCATGATGGGGCATGCCGGTAGTCCTAGTTGCTCGGGAGGCTGAGGCAGAAGAATCACTTGAACCCGGGAGGCGGAGGTTGCAGTGAGCTGAGATTGTGCCACTGCACACCAGCCTGGGTGACAGAGCAAGACTCTGTCTCAAAAAAAAAAAAAAAAAGAAAGAAAAAAAAAGACAATTGATCAATGTATTATCAGATATGATGCATACTAAATAAAACATTAAGTTGAGAATAACTTGTTCCACAATGATCTCTTGATCAGTAAAACTCCTTATTCTACAGATAAGGAAAATGACTAAGAGACTTGTCCAAGGTTGCCTAACTAGTAAGGGCATATTGCATCATACACATTGCATTGTAAATGCATATTTTCATCTTACATGTTGCATTGTAAATCTTTACACAAATTTAACCCAGCCTCAACTAAAATATTTTTTCTTACCTAAAGTTGTGGGCATAATTGGTTTTCAATTTTAACATCAACTACCTTTAAAGAAAATTGCTTTTTAGCAGCAGGGGCCTGAAGTTAAAGTGTAAATTTGAACTAGTGAGCAAGGAATAATATATTTATTTATTTATTTAGAGATGGAGTTTCATTCTGTTGCCCAGGCTGGAATGCAGTGGTGCGATCTTGGCTCACTGCAAGCTCCGCCTCCCGGGTTCACGTAATTCTCCTGCCTCAGCCTCCTGAGTAGCTGGGACTACAGGTGCCAGCCACCACATCTGGCTAATTTTTTGTATTTTTAGTAGAGACGAGGTTTCACCGTGTTAGTCAGGATGGTCTCGATCTCCTGACCTCATGATCCACTAGCCTGGCCTCCCAAAGTGCTGGGATCACAGGTGTGAGCCACCGCACTTGGCCAAGGGCATGTACTTTAATGAGGTTGATAATTTTAATCATATCCTGCAAAACATTATTAAGTTCAGGTGACATTTTTCAGCTAGCCGGCATTTCTCTATGGATGACACAGTGCATAGACTCACATTTAGAAGCAACCTTTTTGACCTGTGAAATGAAACTAGAAAGCCGTCCAGTCATGGCAGCCACTATGTCTGTGCATATACTGACATAAAGTGACCAATTCAGTTTTTCTGATATTTAATCATTCAAAGACTTGAATAGTTCTGCAGCTGTGGTGTTTGTTGACAACAAAAGTGCACATAACATATCCTCATGCATATCCTCCTGAAAAATATATTGCACAAAAGCAAGCATTGTTGCATTGTTGTCAACATCGGTCAACTCATCAACCTGGATTGTGTACCATGGTGACTCATTAATTCTAGCAATTGTGCCTCAGTATTCTCTGTTATTTCATCAGTTTGTCTAGTTATGGTGCTAGCTGAAAGAGGAACACGTGCTACCTTTTGAACGGCATCCTCTCCTTAAAAGGTCATGACAGATGTCCTTAGCAGCAGGCAGTATCAAATCTTCACCAATAGTAAAGGGCTTCTTAGCTATGTGGTTAGTCGCTAAGAATGATGCTCTTAGTGTCAACAAATTTGATGAAGTAGTGGCTTTCAATAATTACTTCTATTCTTTATGTTCATGTTTTTTTCTTTTGAAAAACTCCAAAGACTTGTCTTTTAATACAGGCTGCTTGGTCTCCATGTGGCAAAGCAGTTTTGAAGGTTTTATGGCTTCATAGCCTACCACCAGATGCAGCTGTACAACTGAAGTACATCAACTCACTTGCCACTCTAAAGCCTGCCACCAGATACAGCTTAACTGTCACTTGCTTCTCACTGACAGGGTTTTGATGAGTCCGCAAGTAATTGATTTATTATGGTCTCTGTGCAATCAAACCTCTGTATTAATGTTAATCTGTATTTGCAGCCACTCCCCAGCACTAGCTTCACTGCCTCTGCTCCACCTTAGATGATCAGGCATTAGATTCTCATAAGGAGCCCACAACCCTGATCATTCACATGCATGGTTCACAGTAGGGTTCGTGCTCCTATGAATATCAGTGCTGCTGCTGATCTGACAGGAGGCAGAGAGCTCAGGTGGTAATGCAGCGATGGGGAGCAACTGTAAACCCAGATGGAGCTTTGCTGGCTTGCCTGCTGCTCACCTCTTGCTGTGTAGTCCTAGGTACAGGGCCTAGGACTAGCCTGTGGTCTGGGGTTTGAGAACCCCTGATGTACACTATAGCCTTATATCCTTCTTTAGAAAAGTCTAATATGACTATAGGTAAGAATAACTTTTATATGTATTTAGAAATAGTTTAACCTTATTTAATAAATGTGTTTTTATAGTTATAATTTTTATAATGTCACCAATCTTTGATTTTTATTTAAAAGAATATATTATTCCGGCCGGGCGCGGTGGCTCATGCCTGTAATCCCAACACTTTGGGAGGCCGACGCGGGTGGATCACGAGGTTAGGAGATCGAGACCATCCTGGCGAACACGGTGAAACTCCGTCTCTACTAAAAATACAAAAAAATTAGCCAGGCGTGGTGGCGGGTGCCTGTAGTCCCAGCTACTCAGGCGACAGAGCAAGACTCCGTCTCAAAAAAAAAAAAAAAAAAAAAAGTGCATGCCCTTAACTCACATCTGTTCACGCAGCTCTGTAAGGAGATGGACACAGAGTACACACGTCTTCTCTTAAACACAGAAGTTGATGGCTTTCTAAAGGTGAATCGCTGGCCAGAGTTTTGAGTTATGAGAGCTGCTCCAGAGATTTCTTTTAGAAAAATAGTCACCACTGGCAGCACATTTCAGTGACAAAGAATGGGTCAAAAAGCTTGCCTCCTTGTGTGATATATTCAACCTGCTCAACAAACTCAATCTGTCACTTCAGGAGAGAACAACTGTGTTCAAGTCCACAGATAAAGTGGCTGCATTCAAAGCTAAACTGGAATTATGGGGGTGGTGAGTGAACACTGGGATTTCTGACATGTTTCAAACATTAGCAGAGATTTTGAAAGAGGTTGAGCCACGGCCTTCTTTCTCCCAACTGGTGCAGGATCACTTATCTCAGCTTTCAAAAGAGTTTAAACATTACTTCCCAACCACAAAGGACCCTTGAACTGGGAAGGAATAGATCCGCAAGCCATTTGTGAATAAGCCAGGTGAATTTACTTCATCTGTGCTAGAAGAGGATCAATTCGACAATATCAAATCTCCACACATTCTAGATTAAAATCAAGACAGAATATCCCGAGACTGGCACAAAAGCACTGAAAAGCCTGCTTCCATTTCCAACATCCTATCTTTGTGAAGCAGGGTTTTCTGCAGTGACAGCAAACCAAACCAAAATGAGATTACAGAGCAGACTGAACATAAGCAACAGACTTTGGGTGTCACTGTCTCCCATTACCCCCAGATAGAACCTTCTAGTTGCAGGAAAGCAAGCTCAGGGCTCCCACTGAGTCTACATTATGGTGAGTTGTATAATTACTTCATTATATATTACAATATAATAAAAATAGTAATAAAGTAGACGATAAACGTAATGCACTTGAATCATCCTGAAATCATCCCTCCACCCTCCATCCATGGAAAACCTGTCTTTCACAAAACCGGTCCCTGGTGCCAAAAAGGTTGGGGACTGCTGGTATATACATGGTATCTGCATTTTTCATTCCAGAGGCCACCAAAAACCAAATCATTTAAAAGAGCAATAATAGCACTTTTATTCAATTTATTTGTCTTGCTTCTATCAAATTACTACCAATTATTAAGATAAATGTTTTTCTTTCCTTGAAAAAGATTTTTCATCTAGAATATTGTGGTAATGGAAAACTGTTAACTAATCAGAGTAACAATATTTTTCAAAACTAGGATGGATAATTATAATTCTATAAACACTCATGGCAAGATGTTTTATTGGTTTAATACAATGTGATTTATACACTAAAAAAGATTTTTGATAATTTTAAGGTCACTTCAGAAAATCTGTGAAGAAGTTAATTTAATAGTATATTTGTAATAAAAGTTTAGACCACATACTTTCCTTGCCAAGAGAGTACATTTATTGAGTCTTTGCAACAATTGCATTTAAACTGTATCATTAAATTATATCTAAGCTATGATTAGTATTTCTCCCTACTCTTCAATGTGACCTTTATTTAACACAGTTCACTGTGTGCCTAGGAATACAAGTATCCTATTTGAAGTTACCAGGTGTTCCTTTCAGGAAAATAATCCTTTTTTTTTTTTTTTGAGATGGAGTCTCACTCTGTTGCCCAGGCTGGAGTGCAGTGGTGCATCTCGGCTCACCACAACCTCCGCTCCCATGGTTTAAGCAATTCTCCCGCCTCAGCATCCCAGGTAGCTGGGACTACAGGCATGCACCACCATGCCCAGTGCGGTGGCTCATGCCTGGAATCCCAGCACTTTGGGAGGCTGAAGTGGGTGGATCACAAGGTCAAGGGTTTGAGACCAGCCTGGCCAAAAGAGTGAAGCTCCTCTCTACTAAAAATACAGGAAAATAATCTTAATCCCAGCTACTGAAATGCTTAGTACTAAGAAGTTTCAAATGTTCATATATCCCCTTTGGAAGTATTTTTTTGAAATATTTCAGAGAATGCCTACCTCACAAAAGATGAATACTGGACTATGTTAACATTGAATTCCTATGTAATCTGTAAATTAAATTTTCTCAAATGAAAATTTGCACCTACATTTATCATTAAGTAACAAAAGAAACCAAAACTCTGCAGTTTAAACAAAATGCATTTTTGTTGGCCAAGTTCTGCATTTCATTTAATTGTTCTGATACTCTACAGTACCTCACAGGCTTCCTTTCTCGAAGTAAGTCTTCCAGACTACGTTCACAATGTTCAGCCACGACCACTAGTCGTTCTGAGTAAAACAAAGCAAACCCATGTTATATTTTATCAATATGACATGTTAAAAACAAAATAATATTCTCCACTGATGATATTAACATATAACACCCATAACAATATTTTAAAAGAGCTTTTCAAACTCTATATTAACTACATTATTACCAAGTATATAGGATAATAAACATCTAATAAAACAATAACTATTTTTTTATCTTGTATTTTTCTCCCGCTAGAGTTTTTCTTATGTCCATCAGGAAAAACAGGCGGAAAGGCTGTCCTTGGGGAAAAAATAACTCATCCTTCTTCTGACACAGATTGGAAGAAAGAAGTAAAAGATTAGATTAATATATAAAGAATTTTGAAAGAAGGGGAAAGTAAGGAGCTAGGTACAGATTGCCTGACACTCTGGTTTTAAACACAGATCTTTGAAATTGCATTCAGAAACTTGGAAAAAAGTAGAAATGATCCAAATCATAACTACAGAGAAAGAAAATCAACCTAGAATTATTGTTAACCCTTGAACAACGCAGGGGTTTCTTAAAGGTGCCAACCCCCTACACAGTCAAAAATCACCTATAACTTTTGACTCTCCCAAAACTTAACTACTAATTGCCTACCCTTGACTGGAAGCCTTATTGACAACACATAAATAGAATAGTATCTACATTTATTTTATGTATTAATGACACATCTTTTTATTTTTTTTTCTATATTTCTAGGCTACATGGTTCATCAATGAGTTTTTTCAAATTGTCAAAAATGTCCAAAGAATTTTCCAATATAAATTCACTGGAAAAAAAATCTGCATATTTAAGTGGATGTGTGCATCCAAACCCATGTTGTTCAAGGGTCAACAGTAGTTTGTAACATCATAGGGTCTGCTGAGATTAAATAATACAAAACAGTGGTAGACATGATCAACATTATGATGTCATTTTTATTTTCCCACAGATCAACTGATCAAGATGGCACAGTTCTAAGGGCTAGTCCATACTTTTTTTTGCCTCATCCATTATCCCAAGTCAGTAACATGATGTTTGACAATGAATCTAAGAGGAACAAAAGAAAAGTACAACTGGGTTTCCAAGCTTTTGGGGATTTGACAAGGTTATTTGAGGAGTTTGGTTCAAAATAAGTTGGAGTGTTGTCAGTATCTATGCAAAATGGATTCTAAGTAAAATAAGGAAGAAGTTTAACACAAAACACAATGACAGACTGAGACTAGATAAAGTAAAGGTGCAAAGAAACTAGGAATAATGATAACTGTAAAATGAAAATTTGGTGAAAGTGAAAAAGTAGCCAAGGTAGAAAAAAGAGACAGAAGAAGATGGGAAAGAGGGAGTTCAGAGTAAGAAATCTAGTATATAAAATAGTTCAGTAATGACTGGATTAAGGTATGGTCTTGAATAGGGGAAGGAGAGATGGACAATTGTGTTCAGGCAGACATGTCAAGTGTCGGAGCAAAGTATTATCTTGGATCATATCTAAGTTTACTCTGTCTAGCAAAATGGGATTATACAGAATGATCTGAAACACAAAAATTAAAAATGCTATATATGAATATTATCATTTTCGGATAAAAGATTCCAATCGTAGAGGAATAGGAATAAAATGAAATAGCAAATGATGAAACTAGAGAGGGAGGTGAACAGGAATATTTAACAGGAATTTAAAGAAAATTAAATTTAAAAGAACATTTAATGAGAAAAAAAGAAAAAGAAAAAGGAAAGGAAACCATGAAATAAAAGGTCAAGTTATTTACTTAATAAAGAAAAGAGTATGCAAAGGTAAGCTCCAAGCAATTTAGTACAATGGTAAAATTCCAGAAGAAAAAAGCTGTCAACCTTATCAGAAAACCAAAACAAGAAGCTGCATTCCTTTGCTTTTCATCTTACCACGTTTTGTCCATTTTCCTTACATTTATCTGGCTCCCTCCCCTCAGTATCCTCTGTAAATCTTTACCTCTTCTACCCAAATTGAAATGCTACCAGTTTCTCCACCTTTGATTCAGGGTCTTTTTCCTGTTTTCTCATCTATTCCCAAGGCTGAAAAACTCTGAGATTTTATTGCAAGCCCAAAACTCTCTTCTGAACTGCAGGCTTTTATAGCCCATATTACAGGATTTTAATATAAAAGTCACGTGAAACTCAAGAGAACCAAAACTCAACTTATAATTTACTGTTAAAGTCTGTCCCCTTTAATACTATTTCAGTCAATGATATCACTATCCAGTCAACTGCTCTAGCTAGAAACTAAACAGTAATCTCCCCTTCTCAAATCCAAATAAACAGAGTGCTGCTATTTTTATCTCTCAAATATTTCTAGAATCTATATAGTTTGCTCCATCTGCCACAATCTGGGCCCAGCCAGCATCATCTCATTAGAGAACTACAACAATTTTTTAACTGATCTTCTCACATTAATTCTTATTTCTTTCCAACATATTTTCACACTAAAGCCCAAGTGATAAAATCATAAGAAGTCTGAATATGGAACTCCCTCTCCAGCTTCATCTATGTTATTTTATCTTAGTTTACCAACTTCCATCACACTGATCTTCCTTCTGGCTTCCTGCCTTAGGGCACTTACACATGGGTTCTTACTGCCTCAAATGATCTTTCCCACATAGTGGTAAAGAGTATAGACTATTTTGTCTGGGATCAAATCCCAGTTTTACTACTAATTAACTATGTGACCTCAGGGAAATTTTCTAACCTCTCTATGACAGTTTTTTTTCTGTAAGATGAAGAGAAGAATAGCCACCTACCTCACAGGGTTGTTGTGAGGTTGAAAAGAGTTAATATATAATAAAAGCCTAGAATAGTGTCTGGCACATAACAAGCACTAGCTAATTGTTAGCTTTTATTATTATTCATTATTCAGGGCTCAGTTAAATGTGACTTCCTCAAGGGACACTTTTCTGGACCTCCCAACATCGATTTGCTCTCCTACAACATACTCTATTCCACATTTTAATTTTCTTTCGTAGCACTTGTTTCAACTCTAATAATTTGTATGCATTTTTATTTTGGTCCAGCCAGCATCATCAATAACTCCAACTTATTCATGGTTTTACTTTCTGCAGTTTCCAAAAATTTTAAATGGAATATTCTAGAAATAAACCATTTCTAAGTTTTAAATTGCATGCCATTCTGAGTAGCATAATGAAATCTCTCACCAGCAATTAATATATGCCAAAAAGAAGACGTGGCCAGGTGTGGTGGCTCACGCTTGTAATCCCAGCACTTTGGGAGGCCGAAGTGGGCGGATCACGAGGTCAGGAAACCACCCTGGCTAACATGGTGAAATCTCATCTCTACTAAAAATACAAAAAAAATAAAAATAAATTAGCCAGGCATGGTGGCAGGCACCTGTAGTCCCAGCTACAGGCTGAGGCAGGAGAATGGCGTGAACCTGGGAGGCGGAGCTTGCAGTGAGCCAAGATCACACCACTGCACTCCAGCCTGGGCAACACAGTGAGACTCCGTCTTAAAAACAACAACAACAAAAAGAAGATGTAAAGTGTTTCCTTCAAGTGAAAAGGTAAAAGTTCTCAACTTGATAAGGAAAGAAAAAAATCAGTTGTTAAGATGTATGGTAAGAAATTTTCTATTCGTGAAATTTAAGAAAAAAGAAAATCATGCTAGTTTTGTTGTAATGCCTCAAACTACAAAATTATGACCACAGTGCAAGACAAGTGCCTAGCTAAGATGGAAAAGGCATTAAATTTGTGAGTAGAAGACAGACATAGAAACATATTATGACTCATGAGAATCAGATTCTGTACAATCCTCAGTTTCAGACATCCAATGGGAGTGGCAGGAGACTTCTCGGAACACATCCCCTGAGGAAAAGGGGGGACTACTGTAGTATCTTTTTTCCTATCAGATAATATATTTTGTGATGGCAGGAATGAGGTGGGTCTCATCACAGGTGCCTAGCAGTGCATCAGTAGTTGCACACAGGTGCATCACAGTAGTACATCACAGGTGCCTAGTGCACACAGGTGTACTACATCACATGTGTGTAGAATGTCACTTACAACATATAGGCATGTAATATAAAGATAACTGTTAAATGAATTAGCTTTAGCAAAGGCATGATGCGGCCATTAGAAATGAAGAATCTCATATGACCACAGTCACTAAACAGAGCTCTGTCCTGTGTAGAAAATTACATGCCCATATTATAAACTCAGTATAACTCAGTAGCACTGACTTTCATGTAAAACAAAAACAAAATAATTTATTAAAATGTGCATATTCCATTAATTAATCATTTTAAATTGGATATTCATAATTCTCCATATCTATAAGAGATTTCCAAAGTATCTGGCACAACTAAAATTTTTCAGGCTTTTGGAAACCCCTTCAAAATACCATAAACAAGTGTTTGCCAAAGCTTCAAGATTCTATGGAACTATTAAGCATAGTTTTAATGCTGCAGAGCCATAATCCTCGGCAGAACATCAAAGTTTCTCCCAGAGATAATGTATACCAAAACAATATTTCTACTATGAACTATGCTTTTTTAAAGAAATCTTTAGAGAGTCTTCATTCTAAAATCTCTGGACCACTGTTTAAAAATAACATGTTATAAAAACAATAGAATTTCACAGAATAAAGCATTTGGGAAACATAATGTGCCAAATATAAATCATCAATGTAGTAGCATTATTTATAAAAAAAAAAAAAATGTGATGCTAAGATGAACTTTAAAGAGTAGAATATACAATAATTGCGAAACAGTCTTCCTTCTAACAAAGATTTGAGGAACCCCAAGTATGATGTAGTGTCTCCAGCCCAAACTGTGTGTTTTAAGTTTGATAGGGTTTGACTGTGTTCCCACCCAAATCTCATCTTGAATTCTCATGTGTTGTGGGAGAGACTCAGTGGGAGGTAATTGAATCACAGGGCCAGGTCTTTCCCTGTTCTTGTGATAATTAATAAGTCTCATGAGCTCTGATGGTTATATAAGAGGGAGTTTCCTTGCACAAGCTCTCTTTTCTTGGCCTGCTGCTATCCATGTAAGACATGAATTGCTCCTTCTTGCCTTCCACCATGACTGTGAGGCCTCACCAGCCACATGGAACTGTAAATCCATTAAAGGTTTTTCCTGTATAAATTGCCCAGTCTCGGGTATGTCTTTATCAGCAGCGTGAAAACAGGCTAATACAAAGTTAACACTAAGAAACTGAAGAGAACACACATTTAAGCAACAATAAAGGAGTTGAATAAGGGGCAGGGAAAGTAAAATAAAGTTTTTAAAAGCAGCATTTTTTTTTAAATTTAGAGAAAGAGGTGAATCATGAATCCCTTAAAATAATATAAACGGTTGTCAGAATACATTTACTGCATCACTTTTGTTATTCACAGTAAAAATCGAGACTAGCTCATCACCTTTAAAATATGATTATCTCAATAAGTGCTTATACAGTTCAAAACCAACAAAGAAAAATACTATGCTTAAAGAATAGTATTGGTACCAGAACACTGCAATGGTCAGTTTTATGAGTCAACTTGGCGAGACTATAGGATCCAGTCATTCAATCAAATACTAATCTAGATGTTGCTGTGAAATTATTTTGCAAATGAATAAAGTCTATAATCAGTTTACTTGAAGGGAAATTATCCTAGATAATCTGGATAATCCTGATTCAATCAGTTTAATAGCCTTTAAGAGCAGAACTGAAAGCCAGGTACACTGGCTCACACCTATAATCCCAGCTACAGGAGAGGCTGAGACAGGAGTATCACTTCAAACCAGGAGTTCAAGACCAGCTTGGGCAATATAGTGAGACTCCTGTCTCTGAAAAATAAATAAATAAAAAATAAATAACTATGAGCAGAACTGAAGCTTCCCTGAAGAAGAATAAATTCCACCTGTGGATGACAGCTTCAGCTTCTGCCCAAGAGTTCAGCTTGTCCTTCTTGATGACCTTCCTCATGAATTTCAAACTTGCCTAGCAGCCCCCACAATCACGCACACAAATTCTCAGCAATATTTTTAATATACTTATATAATGTATACTACATATATAATTTATATGATTATATAATTTGTTGTTTCTCTTATGAAACTAATACAAACACAGATTAAAATTTATATGCTAGAGATACAGAATAAATTAATCTTACATTCCATATAATTGTATTATTCTCTACTTTAATTTCAAATAAAATAATTTTTATTCTTGATTTCACCAGCAATCATTGAAAGATTTCTGGATAATCAATACCAAATTAAAAAGGATGTACTACCATTTATAATCTTCACTCTGCTTCTAAACACAGCTGAGATTTCAAGCTCAAAAGAAAAGATAAAATTTGTTAACACAGTATTTTCAGCGTTTACTGGCTTCTTTTCTCCTAAAGATATTTTCTTCTACTAGAAAAAAAGTTCTGAAATTCTAATAAAGTGTCTACCATTCCTGAGATTAAAAATTTCACCCTGCTGAGTTAGCAAGGAAATATTATCATCTTTGATTAGTTTTGAATGATCTATAGAAAACAGTGAAACCTTTATTTCTGAGCTAACATAATATGTGAAAACATATTGTTACTAAAACAGACCACATGTAAGAGGAGTATGTGACTCCAAGTAAGAAGTTGTTATTGGCTTAACAGTAACGTGCAGGGTGGGAAGGGGCATGACTAACAATAGTAAGATATCTGCATAGCAAGAACAGAAAAAAAGAGGAAAAGTAGAATCAAAATCAAAATTCTTTGAGAAGACACAAATCAAAGTTATATGGTATTACACCACTGAAAAATAGGTGTTCACACTGAGAAATACTTTCACTAAGGAGATTGTTCAGCAGCAACTTTTCAAATTTTTCAAAGTAGATGCAACTGAACTGACTACAATGTTTTGGAACAAACAGACTTTTGCATAAGCAGTTACTCTAACAGTAAATTATTCCTCATACACACAACTTTTCAGAATGTTAAACATTGCCAATAAAAACAAAATAATCAAATTCCCTAGCCTAATGACAATCGATATTTTCATTTCAGACAACTAGACTTAAAATATATAAACTTTACATATATTCATGACCTATGTTACCCTAGCAGAGAGGGCTGCTGAGATACATGAGGAGCAGGGCAAGTCAGGGAAGCAGAGTAAACAGCAATATGGTGGACAGGGCTAAGGGGACTAACCATACCGTTGAACTGGCCTCAGAGAACAACAATCAGTAGAACAATTACAGTTTCTAAGGGGATCAGTTCCCACCTGATTTTGATAATCAAAAAGAAGGTTCATAGGCAAAATTAGCAAGAATGCTCCCCAAAGAGAATCATGCTATAACACAGTTCCTAATTCAGTGTTTATAGAGGCCAAGTTAGGTAGAGGAAGGAAAAGAAGGAGCTTTAGGACTATTTTGTCAATTGAGAAAAGGCCTAGGAAAAATTGGTCAGAGGAAAAACCCCAAATACATAAAGTGAAGCTCCAAAGGGGCTTCCAGATACAGTGGGAATAAACAAAGGGCTCTTGGTGGCAAGAGTTTGGAAAGACAGGCCTCTGCCAAATTTACAGATGTTCACCACCCATGGTTAATACTACTGTACTGACAACCAAAGAATGGTTTTGGAAATAGGCCAACTCTACAACTGGCAATTTTTTAGAATCTATAGCTGAATTAAGGGTAATGGGGCATTGAAGTATACAGGTTTTGAAAATATCTATTATATTGCTTGGTGACGTAAAAAGCCCCAAATGATCCCCGTAATTTTTCAACATCTACTTAACGTCATTGAAGCCAGGTAACAAATAAAAATCTTTGGCAAAAAATTATTTTTTGAACAAAAATTAACTCACCAAAAGTTATTTTCTGGGCTTTCAGCACATGGCTGGAGCTATCTGTAGTCTACTATATAGTTACCACTAGTTTTCACAGTTCTCTTTAACCAAATTAGAAAAAGTACCCCTCCCCCTTGAATAAATTAGAGAATCAGATTTCAGCTCCCACTTACTCCATTATCCAGAAGCTTTTATGCAGTGTGGCAAAACCCCATACAGTGGCCCTGACTGTGGGTCTCCTGATTGGTAAATATACGACATGGTGCAACACTAGGTGCAGGTCAAATCAATTTTGAAAAGACTAGGACCTGACATTAGAACTTTTCAAGTTAGCCTTAAGAAGATGATCTCTCCAAAGAAGATGATCTCTCCATACCCCTTGATACTCTACACCAGTGCTTTTAAGCCCCCTCTCTCCTCTTTTTTTTTACATTAGGAATCCTTTTCGAAAATCTGTGAAAAACTATGAATTTTCATTATTCAGCAAACACATGTGTACATATGTATACACACATATACAATTTTATAGTAATTTGAGTGGTTCACAGACTTCCTAAAGCCTACTGAAGCTACAGTTTTAAACTTAAAATTTCATTTCCTTATAGATGTCTACTGTAAATTAAAAGTAATCTTCAAAGCCCTTCAACTGACTAAAGGGACCATCTCTTGGCCAAGGGGACCCCAGAATAACCTTGAAAACTGAGTTCTCAGCCATGATAGGACTTAGGGTCAGACTACCTCATTATACCACCCTCTTAACCATGATTAGGCTTTCTTCCCTAGGGACTTAGCGAAAACCAGCCCTTTCAAAAGATTTCACAACTGATATCAACCAACTGTCTGACACTACCCCTTCTTTTTTGCCTGATAAGCAACCATTTGCCTGATAACCAACCATGGAGTGGTTCTGGCCAGTCTACCAAGAATGAGCAGTAAGAGTTTTCGTGTCCTCTGCTCCACCTTTGACGTCAGAGGGTGAAAAACTCCACCCTTGGATCATGACCATCAGATCATGCCAACATTGCCATTTTTTATATGTGGGACCCATGAAGCGGCTTGAAGGGGAATGAAGTTTAAATGCACATACACATGGTTCTCCTTTCATAAATATTCATGACTCCTCCCATAGCTTACTGATACGTATATTTGGCCACTCTGCTCAGTATAAATTTCTGTTACCTTTGCCCCTCCCTCATAGCATAATCCATGAGAGAAAATTGCAAAGAACAAAATCAAGGATATGTGAATCAAAAAACTTCAAAGCAACTCAGCTTGGCTGGAATGAATGGTTAAATTAATGGAAACAACAAGCAATACATCAAAAGAGGACAGCACAGACTGGATCAAGGACTAGATGAAGGATTTTTGCATGCAATAGCCTAGTAAAGAGTTTGAATTTTACCTGGTAGATTTGGAAATAAATGGGCAAGTGTATGAGAGAGAGGCAGGGTGGGGGAAAAGGAGGACAGAAAGAAGGACATGTGTGCACAGGAACTGATGATAGCTTTATATATTTAATGGATACAGTATTTATAACTTTGGGTAACAAAGTAGAGAACATAAATAGGAAAAAAAAGAAAATAACTTACCATGCTTTCCCCTAGAAATATCCACATACTGGCACAGTCTGGGATGGGTGATGGTTTTAAGGATTTGAAAGCGCCCTAAAATTTTGATGGAATTTGGTGTAAGAGGAAGCCCATTGCTTCCACAAACATCATGTGGCAGAGCCGAGGCAAAGAAGGTAAAGGCTCCCATTTCAGCGTCCTCCAGGGGAAACATTTTTGGAGTCCTAGGTCTTCTAAGATAATATGGAAAAGGAGAGAATTTTAGGACACACCAAATATGAAGCCAGACAGACCAAACCTTAAACACAATTAACATACAACTTGGAGGAAAATGCCAATCTGAACACTTCACAGTAAAAATATCACAGTAAGAAAATTCTAAAATATCAGAGGACAAAACGCCTCAGCATACATTTATATTGCAGCTCTGAATCAAACTCAAAGATTTTCAGTGGCATAAAAAAGGAAAGATGATTCCATCCTCAATGACATCTTGCAGTTTAAAGAGTAGAGGAAGTCTGTTACTGCATCTTCATATTATTAATAAGGCTCTTTTCTTTTTTTTTAGACAGTCTCGCACTGTCACCCAGGCTGGAGTGCAGTGGCACCATCTCCGCTCACTGCAACCTTCGCCTCCCGGGTTCAAGTAATTCTGCCTCAGCCTCCCGAGTAGAGGCACCCACGACCAAGCCCAATTAACTTTTTGTATTTTCAGTAGAGATGGGTTTTCACTATGTTGGCCAGGCTGGACTTGAACTCCTGACCTCCTGATCCGCCCACCTCGGTCTCCCAAAGTGCTGGGATTACAGGCGTGAGGCACCACACCCAGCCAATAAGGTTCCTCTCTTCACCTAAAGATTGAATAACTCACATACCATCAAGAACCTTCCTTCTCATACAGTGAGGTAAGTCAGGAAAGAGGGAATATAGATACCAACTGGTAATTAATCAGGGACCTTATTAATAGTAGTAAAGCTTAAACTAGATTAAAAGAAGGTTCTATAATATTAAATAAGCAATTTTCATTTTTATGCTAGATGTTTTACATAATGTATGATCTGATTTAATCTATTAATAATCCTGATAGAGCTACTGGCTCAAGTTTAGAGATAGTTGTTCCACGTGTATAGCATGAGACATCCTATTTGCACTTACTCAAAATAAACGGTGCCCCCAAAGTTGTGTAAGGTAGTAGCCTGGAGATTAGGAAACTTGCTCCATATCAATCTGAATCACATTAAGGCAACCATAACAACACAAAACAAAACAAAGGAAAACAAAAAAGGTCTTCTGACATGGGTAAAAAATATTTTACCCATGGACCTCACTAAAAAGACATTCTACTGGTAAAGCCCTGCATTTTTCCCTTCTCAGCTTTTTGATAAATATGCTGGAATTCCAATTCAATAAAACCACTTTTGTCTGACCAGAAACCTTACTGAAATCATTAAAAATATTTTAAAAAGTATAAACCCTTAACAAGGAAGGGACACAGGCCATGAGGTGATGAAAGATTTCTAGAAACTTGTACAAAACAAAATATATATGGAAGAGTATTGCCACAAGAAGCAGAAAGAAATAAGCTACAACCTATAATAGTCAAGAGGTTTGGGGGGTTTTTTTGTTGTTTTTTGGGGTTTTTTTAATTGAGATGGAGTCTCGCTCTGTCGCCCAGGCTGGAGTGCAGTGGCGCGATCTCGGCTCACTGCAAGCTCCGCCTCCCGGGTTCAGGCCATTCTCCTGCCTCAGCCTCCCGAGTAGCTGGGAATGTGCCGCCACCACGCCCGGCTAACTTTTTTGTATTTTTAGCAGAGACGGGGTTTCACCGTGTTAGCCAGGATGATCTCAATCTCCTAACCTTGTGATCCGACTGCCTCCGCCTCCCAAAGTGCTGGGATTACAGGCGTGAGCCACCGCGCCCGGCCTATTAGTCAAGAGGTTTGTTTGGCCCTTTCAGATTCAGAGGCTTCAGACTTAGAGAAGGCGGGAACAATGGTAAACAGCAGTCAAAGAGGGTTTGAAATCAGAAGGGTGAAGTGTTGAATAATTAGAAGTATCAATTCTGCCACCAGTCCCACAACATAGGCAGTTATTTACACTCTGAAAATAAAAGGTTCTTTCCTAAAGAATCTGAACAAACTGAGAACTACAGTAGTTGCTATGGACACTGGCAAGAAGAGCAAACTCCTCACGATTCTGGAATTTGTAGGACCCCAGCTAAGATTTGGCTGTGCACCCAGCCATCCTAAACCAAAAGGTTATCAGTCAATAAGCCTGTCCATATACGCAAAGCTCCCAGGCAGCCTTAGCTCTTAAATAATGAGTTGTCTGAGAATCATCAGATAGTTGAGGAAAGACTACAGTATCAAGCGCAAACAATAAAATAAACCTCCAAAAATTTGGCTTTGGAAGCAACTGAAATAATTTATGAAGAAACACAAAAACTAACTCTAATAAATATAGAGAGATTTGAGAAGATATTGCATCCATTACATAAAACAAGTTACAGAAAAGCAAATTATACAAAAGAATAAAGAGAAATGGCCAATAGATATATGGGAAGATAAACAACCTCATGAATAATCAAGGAGTTGCACATTAAAACCACCAAAAATTTTTATCTACCAGACAGTTAAAAATTAAGAAATCTGATAACACATAATGTTAGAAGGATGCGGAAAAATAGGATCTCTAATTTGCTGTAAGTGGGAGTGTAAATTAGTAAAATCACCAGAAATGTTTATACTATCTCGCTATTATATTCCTACAGAAACTCCTACACACACACACACACACACACACACACACACACACACACACAGAGTGGACCTGTGCAAGAAAGATCAGGGCAGTATTGCTCCTAATATCCCCAAACTGCAGACAATTTAAATGTCCAATGGTAGGTAAATAGTTAAATAAATTGTGGCATATTCACCTGCATACATAATGAAAAATAAGCAAACTATAGCAATGTTTAATAGCACAGATTAATATTGACTGAAAAAAATAACATAAAATATGCCAATTTTTATAAAACTCAAAAACAAAACAAAAAAATAATTCTGGAATACTTACATCTATTGTAAGAACATGTTCAATAAGTAAGGGAATTTAAAAAAAAAAAACTCAGAATATGGTTACTATCAAATTAAAGCAGAGGTAAGGTTAGGGAAAAATCCACAAGAAGCTTCAAAAATCTTGAATAATAGCCTAGTTTTTAGCTGGTGAATTAATGGGTGTTCATGTTATCATTATGCTTGGTAATTTCCATGCTCTATATTTATCTATGTGTGTGTTAATACCACATATTTCATAATTTAAAATTTTTTAAATAAAATAGATTTTCAACAGAACTCAAAAGAGTTCAAGGAAAGTCTTTTTTACAAATGGTGCTGGAAAAAGATATTCATATAAAAAATAATAACCTTAACTTCTACTGATACATCCATAAAAGTCTAAAATGGATCATAGGTTTCAATGTAAAGGTAAAACTGTTAAGTCTTCTCATTGAAAACATAAGAGAGTATCTTTACAACCTTAGGCTAGGAAAAGATTTCTTAGACATGATATAACAAAGCACTAGTCGCAAAAGACAATTTTGACAAAGTAGACTTCACCAATTAAAAACATCTGCATATCAAAAGGCACCTGAGAAAATAAAACTTCGAGTTAAAGGGAAATATTATTTATATCTGTCTATATATACATATGACATTATGTATACATAGGACCTTTTAAAATCAAATATATGTGTGTCTATATATAATTGACCTGTATTCGGAGTCTATAAATACCACAATTCAATAATAAAACAAGCCAATACATAAATAGGTAAAAGTCACAAATACATTTTCACACAAGGCATGAAAAGTCAATAAGCACATGAAAAAACTGCTTAATATCATTAATTGGGAGAAATGCAAATGAGAATCCCTTTAACTTCTACAATGGCTAAAATTAAAATGACTGGCAATAACAAGTGTTGAGGAGAATGTGGAAGTGGAGCTTTGATATATTGCTAGTGTGAGTGTAAAACGGCAAAAGAATTTTGGAAAATATTTGGAAAACTCTTCTAAAGTGAAAAATATCCCTAACTTGTGACTCAGAAATTCCACTCCTACTAGGTGTTTAACCAAGAAAATGAAAATATTTGTCCATAAAAATGCTGGTATGAGTATGTTCACAGGAACTGTACTCTTAATAGCTAAAAACCAGAAGCAATGCAAATGTCTCACAAGTGAATCAGTTAACATTACTTGTACTATGAAATTCTATTTAACAAGAAAAATGGAACAAACAGGCCAAAACATGAATGTACCTCAAAAATATTAAGTTTATGAAAGAAGCAGATACAAAAGAGTGCATACTGTATGACTCCATTTAAATGTAATTCCAGAACTATAGTTCTAAATTACAGTATTAATAAAAATCAGAAGACAGTACTGCAGATGGGGAAGGGGGGTTGAATAAACAGAAACAGAGGAACTTTCTGTAGTGGTAGAAATATTTTCTATCTTGATTGTGCTGGTAGTGGTTCTACGGATGAATACATGCATCAAAACTCATTAAACTGACCACTTAAAATCAGTGTGTTTTAATATGTGTCAATTTTATCTCATAAAAAATAAAATTAAGAGCCTATGAGAAGATAAACATTGCCATACATTTTCAAAGCATCAAACGTAACTAGAAAATTTTAAACATTTCAGAGAGAAAAAAATGATTCCGCTATCAACAAATTAAAGTGAAACTGTCATTCTCATCAGCAATAATGAAAGTTTGAAAAGAGCCTGGTGCGGTGGCATGTGCCTGTGATCCCAGATACTTGGGAGGCTGAGGCGGGGGGATCATGTGAGGTCAGGAGTTCCAGACCAGACTGAGCAACACAGCGAGACTCCAGCTCAAAAAAAAGGAAAAAAAAGTTAGAAGACATGGAAGGATTGAGAGTTGAAGGAAAATACTTCTGATTCTATATACAGCCAAATTATCAGTCATAAGAGCAAATTATAATTTATAGCCATACAAACATTAAAAAATAAAATTACCTTTCACATGCCTTTTGTGAGCAAGCTTCCTTAGGATATATTACAGAGGAATAGGGGGAAGTCCAATAACAGAAGGTGAGGGGCTAAGAAACAATGTTATTTACCCAAGAATGAATATAAACCCAGTATAGGAGCAATTCAAAAGGACTAGAATGCAATTTGTTCAAATTAAACAGAAAGCCATTGGGCTTCAAGGGGAAAAACTTCAAACAGAAGAATGGAAGCTTCTATGTCCATCATACAAAGAATGAAAAGACTCAGTGAAGAAAGCACATCCACCTACCTATTCCTCAGGAGAAAGCAGAAAGGCAATTAAGAAAGTAGGGATAGTTAAAAACTATGTAATTACATAGTCCAAAATATAAAGCATGCTCAATTACAGCATAATATTTTGCCCTTGGCAGGAAAGAAAGAAAAACCCATTTGACCTTGATATCATAAATAATCTTCTTACTATGGCACAGGGATCATGAAGTTAAAACTCTGGGAAAAAAACATATCGAAGTATACAGCTTGGACTTGCACTAAATAACAACTATAAAGCCATAATACTGTAAACATTTTATTTTTTTTATTGGTTTTTGGCACGTGAACAAAGTGCAAATATTATAGTTAAGAAATATATTATCAACTTTGACAATGTAAAAGTAAATGTCCAGCTAAGAGAAAGTGGGCATAAATGTAGTTTCTAAGGTGATAAAGAAAAAGGTAGAATCACTACTTTTCTCTTTTACCAAACAAGGAGTCAAATATAGTTTCAAAAGTTGACGTGAAAAATTTACGTATATTATTTTGAATTATAAAGTAACCAATACAAAAGCCAAAAATTATGATTATGACTATTCCCAAATTCTGAGATGAGAGATTGTGAATGGTGTGGGCTATTTCAAGAAGTCAACAGAAAAAGAATTAGTTTAACTTAGGGCTATCTCAAGAAGTCAACAAAAAGAATTAACTAGGTTTAACTTATTATTTAACCTACAGACCTAAAAAAGGTTAAAAGTGGTTATCTTTGAAGAATAGTACTGAGAATAGGACAGGTGACACAGTTGTACCTTATTATTCAATCCTACTATGCCATACTTTTTTTTTTTTTTTGAGACGGAGTCTCAGTCTGTCATCCACGCTGGAGTGCAGTGGCATGATCTCGGCCCACTGCAGCCTTCCACCTCCCGGGTTCCAGCGATTCTCTGCCTCAGCCTCCCGAGTAGCTGGGATTACAGGCGCCCACCACCACGCCCAGCTAATTTTTAGTAGAGACGGTGTTTCACCATCTTGGCCAGGCTGCCTTGAACTCCTGACCTCAGGTGATCCACCCGCCTCGACCTCCCAAAGTGCTGGGATTACAGACGTGAGTCACCGCGCCCGGCCAACTATTTGATTTTCAATCAGATATCTTTATCACTTAGCTGAAAATAAAATAACCAAATAAAACACAATGCTCGAAAAAGATAAAACACTAATTAACATAAAAGATTTCATCAGTGTTCTTTTTTCACTACCTCTTAGATGGTTGTACATAAAAAGGCTCACACACAAAAATGCACACACAGACATTTGCTTACACCTGGTGAGTGGAAGAAAACTACTGGGGGAAAAGAACAAACAAAACGCAGAAGTGAGAGATTAGATGAGGCAAACAACAGTGCAAGCAGTTGGGCTTGAAAATTAATTCATTCAACAAATATTTTGAAGCCCCTATTTTAAGTCGGTTGTTTTTCCAGCCGGTGGGCAAAGGATAATGAACAAGTCAGAATCTCTGCCCTCAAAGAACTTATAGTTAAATGACTCGAATGGGGAGAGAAAGTAAAAAACAGGGCAAAAGATGTTGATTTTATCATGAACAAAAGTTTCACATTTCTTCTACAGGAAAATGATACTAATTCATTTATTTTATATATACATTCTCTCAAGAGGTTATTTTTGTCCCAGATGGATAGAAACCAGGACAGGGGACCTTGAAAAGCAGCCACTGACAATCCTCAAGTAATTTCCTTTCACTGCTTCACGTTCTCCTACTGCTCAAGAGAGTGTTACACTTCGACAATTGACTAAACCTCGAGCGCCAGAAACAAATCAAAGCAAAATTCTGCCTCTGTGGTGAGAAATGGAGGGGCAGATTCTAGATCCTCTAACCTCCTCCTTTAGCCTTCCTTTGAGGCAGTGGCAGAGCGACTGCTGAGCCTACGGTTCCCAAAGGACTCAGGTGAACCTGATTCACAGAAAAGGCGGGCTGTAGCTAGGGATGGAGACAGTACTCATCAGCAAGCAGCTCCACAGCTCGGTTCTCTTATCCCTTCTGAAGACATGCGGGGCCACTCACTGCTCCTGATAGTCCTCTACCTCCCACAGACCCCACCCACTACGACACGGAAAACTAGATTACCCAAATACCTGCCTCTGAGTCTGGGGACGCAGGCAAACACAAAGACAAGGGGGATGGAGCTTCTACACAGGGCCACAGCGCAGTCGCTGTGCCTGGTGCTGCCGCTACGACTTAGTGCACTAGACGCTGCATTTCAGGTGCTCCTACAAAAGAGGCCGCTCCCGGAACGCCGGGAGCTCAGAGGTTGCCCTTCGCCCGCGAGCCGAGTCAGCTAAGGTTCCCTTCGCGGAACCCGGCAAGGACCGCGAGCCTGGCCTTGCCCAATCACAGATCCCAGCTATTTACCCTCCACCCTCCCCTCAGCCTGGCCTTTTCTTCTGCCTTCACAGCCACCGCGACCCAATACTGAGGAAAGACCCCGACTTGTGGCGTCCTGCCCCTTGCCCAAACTGGACTCGAAATGAAATATAGCGACAGAGAAAGAGGTGCCGGGGGACGAGGGGGCGATTGGAAATCCTGGGTGAGGGAATGGAAGACGAGGAGCGTGGTGTAGAAGGTTAATGGGACTGAGCACAGGAAGAGGAAAAAAGAATTGACGATTGAATCTGTAGAAGACTCAGGCGTTCAGCAAGGACACCTCATTGGGTCCTTTCTCACTGCTAGAGTGCTCGGGTGGTTGTGCCTACATGCTTCCTGCTGTGGCTTTCTCGGAACCCCTGGCCACCGCTTCATGTGAGTGACGTCGTGGAGGGTCACTCACTCGGGGATCGCGGATTGCGATCGTAGGGGTCTTCTTTCTGTAACTTGCCTCCAGGAGAGAGGACCTGGCCTGCGGTTGCTAACGGGTAGTCCGTTCGCACCAGGACCAGCCCTGGCCTGAGGAAACAGGAAAGAGCTTGAGACCTCCTTCTAAAGGAGCCACGTTTGAGAAATGGGATGCAGGGCTAAGTTAAGAATGCTACCGAAAAATATCGATCCCTAAGCGTATTTACTGTTATGTGAATGTGTGTGTCAAAGGACTTGGGTGCTTTGGGGGAGAGAAGGGTGAAGACGGGAATTTATTCATTCAGCGAATAGTTATTAAGCGTTTATTCCAGGCACCGTTCTCGACATTAGGTGAAGAGCAGTGAACAAGACAGACAGAAATCTTTGTCTACTTGTAGCTCACATTTTAGTGAGGAAGGCACATTCTAAGCAAAGTAATTAGAAACATGCTGTATTTTAGGTCGTGATAGTCCTGAAGAGAAATACAAAGCAGGGAAGAAGGTTATAGAGTGACACAGGAAGGTCTTGCTGAAAAGATAACTTTGAAGTAAAGGGCTGACAGAAGTGGGAGATGTAACCATGCGAATATCTTGGGGAAGTGCAGTCAGACAGAGGGACCAGCCATTGCAAAGGTCATGAAGCAGAAACCTGCTAGAATAGCAAGGAAGCCTGTAGGTCAGAGTTGAGTAAAGGGTTTAGTCCTTCACTGGAGATTAAATCAAGGCGAGCAAGTCATGAAGATCTTGAGGACGTCTAACTTTTATTCTAAATGAAATAGGACTTTGGAGGGTTTTGAGCATTAGAGTGATGGAATCTGACTTCCTTTTAAGAGGGTCACTCATAAAGGAAAATACACAGAGGAGGGCGTGGTAGGAGAAAAGAGACCAATAAAGAGAGTGTTGCAATCATCCAGAGGAAGCATAATGGTGGTTTGACTATGGGTGGTAAAAAATGGCCAGTGATATTCTTGATGTACTTAATTTGGATATGTAAGAGTATTATAGATGACAGGGTTAATTTTATTTAATTAGACTTTGAAGGACACTTTAAAAAGGAATTCCAGTGTGAGTTTCAGAGTGGCAAACGCAAGTTAAAATCATGGCTTTGCTCTGTGATACTTGAAGGGATTCCGATAAGTCATGTAATTTTCCTGGATCTGTCTATAAAATGGAAATAATACCTGTCAAGATTACAAAGATTAGGGTATATTATAGGTATTTAATGACAAGGTATCTAATGGACCTAGTCTGCAAATCTGAACCAGGTAAAAGATGGCCTTATTGTGAGGTAAGAGGGTCATGGGAGGCCAAGGCATACTCCTTTTTAAATTTTATGGACTCTTTACCCAGGACCCCCTGTGTTCTCATCAGTAAGGGGAAAGCAGGCTCTCTGGTAAGGGAAACAAGAATAAATAGGAACTTTCATAAAAAAGCAATTTTAGATATTCTTTTTATAGATTTTGGCAAAGGTTGATAAAAGGCCTATGGAATTACTGCTGGTTGCTGCACTTACATATTTTGAGTGTCTTGAGATGCATTGTTCTCAGTGTATTTAATTTTCTTCTTTAAATTCTGACTTTTGACACATATGATTTAAGTCCTAGCAGGAATTTTCACCTAGTTCTAAAAGGTACCACATTGCTTAACACTATAATAGGGACGTTCTTTCAGTGTAGGGTATTTTATGTATACTGTAACATTCTTAGATATCCAGTAACTAGACTGTGTAGCAAATCGCAAATCAGGGAAAGAAGTTGGAAGGCAAGAAGAGGAATGAAGGAAGGAGAAGAAAGGAAAAAAATGATTAAAATTACTATAGTCTATCAATTCTGATATACACATTTTTCTCATATATACATCTCTGAAATAGGGATGATTTTTAAATTGTTGACATCTTTAAATCACTGTAGATGAATTGGCAGTTGTGAGATATTTGTCATTGCCCACACTTACACACACTTAGTCATAACTTAATCTTCTCATTATTTCAGTTTGAGTTATATGTGCAGTGTTGGCATATAGTTGTTGAGTTTAATTTCCCTTTTAAAGATCATTTAGAAGATTATGATCAGCATTAGAATGAAAAGTTACTGTGTATGAGGGAAAACTAAAGGGTGATACAAGATAAAAATCCAGGGTTAAATGTGAAAGAAGTCTTTTAATAAATAATGTAGATATGTCTAAGTGATAAGAAAGCATTGGGTCAGTTGATTCAATAGTGGTTTTTTTTTTCATACTGGTACATAAAATAATAGAGCTTCTTGGGATTGAAGCCATTTTACAATTGATGGCATTTTAGATTTCTTGAAATACAGTATTTAAAGCTTCCAACAAAAATGTAAATTTTTACCTACTGTAATTTCGAAATAGTGTAATTAGAGGTTTTGAGTAGAGACACTTTCAAATTTGTGTAGAGTTCCTATATAGCATAGGAATTCTAAAATTAAAAATCTGCTTGTAAAACTTTGATTTCAAAGTAGTAACTGACTTATGTTTGATTCCCAATGTTGTCATCGTAGGACAGAGATTTGGCTTTTGAAAAGAGATCGCAGGCAATGTAGGTGGGGTGGGAAGGACTCCTGAGGAAATTGCTGAGTGAACAAAAATGATCATGAAGATCTCAGAATCTCAAAAATCATCTTTTGTATGTATATTTTAATGATTAATGTGTACTATAAATTCATGTACAGTATTTGAGATTCTGCATTAGAGGTATCATATGATGAATGGCTTTTTAGCTTTGATGAAATATGATAATTAACATTGAGAAGGACAAAATTAATGTGAAGGGGCAGAATGATTTAGATAATATGTTTCAAAAGCTTTTGATATAAAAAATGCATTATTACCATTTTAATTTAGTACAGGAAAAAGAAAAAGTCTTGATTCTCACCAATCAAACACAATTAACATACTTGGTCTACTGTTTTCTGTGCTTTTCTCTTCATAAATGTTTTATATTTTCAATTACTGTGCATGTAATTGTTATATCTATTTTAATCTCACAGTCTTGATTTTTTTTTAATTTTAATCCAGAGACTTAAACCAGCATTTCCCAAACTGTTCTAGAGAATACTAGTTCAAACGAATGTTAATAGGTATTCCTGGGTTAGGATTCTGTCATGAAATATACTGGAAAATGCTTTGTATTTATATCCTTTAGAGAAATTATAGCTAGAGCATTAAAAGAGCTAACTGCAGCATCAGACAGACTTGAGTTTCAGTCCTCATTTACTAAGTATTACGTGAGGCAAATTAATATTAATTCAAGTTTTCTTCTCTGTATAATGGAGATTATTACAATATTTGAAATTGACTTGTGTAAAGCATTTAGCCAGCCATAGTATATGTTCTACAAATATATGTAGTTGTTATTATCATCTGTGAGAAACCTTATACATATTAGCATATTAGAAACTCTGAGGATTTAAAATTTTGAAGGTTAACTTATATTCAGTGTAAAATTGAAAAATCACAGGGGAGTAATTGGCATAGAGATTAATGAAATGAGTACTGGGTTGAATGGTAAAAGATTTGTTTGAGCTCTAAGCAGTATTGTTGTTAAACTATCGCTGTGCCCTAAGCATAACATTATTTTAAAACATGTCTTCAACTGTGTTTCCCCCATTTGTCTGAAAGCTTAGTTAGTTCAAAGAACATGTTTATTTTTATTCTCTACTATAAACCCAGCACATGACACAAAATCAGCGAGTACAAAGTTCGGGTCATGAACTTATTTTAGGAACCTGGCAGGTAATATAAATAGCAGACAACAGGGAGTAGTAAAGTGTCTGTCTGTCTTACTTAAAGACATTCACATCAGTTATTTCCAACACTGTTAGCCCTGGAAAAGAAAGATACCCCTGAACTTTGTCAGGCTAGTTTGTGATCCCTAGAAAAGATTAGCGGTTAAGACCAAACCCTAAAGAACATCATCATTAATGGGACAGATAAAGAAAAAGGAGCCCTGAAAGGAGGTGACAAGGAAGTAGGAGGTGAAATCAGGTACAAGTAATTTTATAAATTAAGAAAATGAAGTATAGAAAATTTAGATAATTTTACCAAGATCCCACAGCCTAAGTATATGATTGACCCAAAGCTTGTTTATAAACACTCTGAAAAAAACCTATGTTCCTTTGCCAGTGCTAGTGATCATTATCTGCATGTTACTAGAAAACATTAACATAAACGTATGCACCCAACTTATATTTTTTAAAAATTTAAATGATAATTAATCAACAAGTGTTAGAAAACCTGTTTTCAGAGCTTCTGTTCTAAAGACAACAAATGGCTTTTAGCATTTGAGAAAAGTTCTGTTAAGACACAGACATAACTAGAAGTGAAATATTTTTAGATTTCACGAGATGAGACATTTTTAATGTTGGCATCATGAATAATATTTCCAGATAACCAGTTATGTAGGACTGGAGAATTAGAGACTGGGCACCAGTGCAGTGGCTCACACCTATAATCCCAGCACCTTGGGAAGTCGAGGCGGGCAGATCAGTTGAGGGAGGTCAGGATTTTGAGACCAGCCTGGCCACGTGATGAAACCCCATCTCTACTAAAAATTCAAAAATTAGCCAGGTGGCAGGTATCTGTAATCCCGGCTATTTGGGAGGCTAAGGCAGGAGAATAGCTTGAACCCAGGAGGCGGAGGTTGCAGTGAGCCAAGATCATGGCACTGCACTCCAGCCTGGGTGAGAAACAAGACTCTGTCTCAAAAGAAAAGTTTTATCACTTCTTTTTCTCACATTGTTTCCTCTTAGTAGTTGCATATGTGTGTTTAGTGTTTAGTTCATTTGTATATCTGTATTTTGAAACATGATATTCTCTTTCCTAAACTTACGCTTGTTCTTCAATATGTATTGTAAGGTCATATTTTGTGTAACTCATTATTCTAATTATATTTTGTAAATAGTTAACAAATTTATCCACTCAGTAAAACTGTATTTTTTTCTCTTAGGCTAGATTTATTATCTCTATTTTCCAAATTACTGTTAGTCCTAGCAGATTTTTTAAATGTTTTTGTATGAGTCAGAACATGAGTTTCAACAACTTGGTGGGTATTTACTTTTGAAGTGACTGTCTAGAACTGTTGGCTTATTTATGAGCATTATTCTATACGGACTATTATTTTAACAGTTTAGAAAAATACCGACCAAAAAAGCACAAAAATTCTAATGAAGATGCCACCTTTTAAACTCTGCTATTTTTACCAAAATGAACACAGAATACCATATTGTTACTTAAACGTTTGCAAAGCCAGAATTGTAGAGAAAATATCTTAATAGAAATGGATATATGAAGAAAGTTAAAGTGAAAAAAAAACAAAACTGTGGTCTTCTGAATGTTGGTATCCTTAGTTACAGCATTTCTTTATTTTAATGTCTTTCTACTTTAGTCTAATGTAAGTAATGATGAAATATACTCAATAGGTGAAATATAGCTGTCACAAACCTTATAGTATCTGATTAGGCAGAATTGGCAACTTTTACATCTCTAGTCAAGACATCTTTGATGAATAATACTAAAATGAATGTGAATTAGTGGTACATTTTAGAAAAATACATTTTGAAAAGATATAGCTCAAATCATCTTGTTCAAATTTCAAAATTAAGAAAAAAACTAGAAAACTAGTGTCTTAACTGATATTTAAGTATAGACTAATGCTCAAAAATGAGCCAACAGGTCTAGACAGTCACCTCAAAAATAAATACCAGGCAGTTTATTGTGGCTTTTCAGAATATTTTTTATATAAGATTGATATTATATAATAATTTGAAATTTTCAAACAATCTGTTACTATGTGTCTTATCTAGTTTTTATTCAAACTTTCACCATTAATATTGAGTGCTGCTTCATTTATTTAAAGTGAAAATTATTTCAGCAATGCTTATATCATTGTTATACCTTGAATTATAAATTCTTGTTAAATCAGGTAGAAAAGAACAGTTCATAGTATTACTAACGATTAACCCTCTCCATTGTCAGTATATTATTTTTTTTAGTATGTGGCAGTTTAAACTTTAACATGGTGAATTAATCTCAGAATGTTTATTGAATACATTTTTCTGTACCTTGATAGTATTTTTTTTAAATTTCTCTGAATTTATTATAAAAATAAAATTCTAATTTTTAAAATAAAGACAATGGTATATGTTGACATTATATCTGAACAAGCATATGATTAATATTTTCTTAATTGTTGATTTTTTCTTTTAATATTTGTCTTTCCTAATTGACATTTTTTTTCTTGAAAATTGTACCTACGTGAATACACAGTAGAAAGATCCAGTATATAGAAATATAAAAGGAATGAAATCAGCAACTCTTTACT